TCTAGAACTTTTAGAAAACTTTTAGAATCCTTCAGTCCTCCAGAATTCTTCAGAATTTCTTAGAGCCAAACTCTCCAGAAGTCCTCTGAAAACTATAGTATCTCTCAATTCGTGCTCACCCGTATTCTCCAACAACGTCCTCTGCATATTCTGTTGCGTGTTGATGACGGCGATCAGCGGTTCGGTGATCGGTCCGACGAACTGCTTCATCGCGGGTCCCATTTTGAGGGACAACTCTCCGAGAGCCCCATGTGCGCCCGCGAAATTTTCCAAGTCCCACTTTTTTTAATTCGACAATACACCAATTTATGCAATAAAATCAATAAATGAGACCCCAAAACGCAAAACCAAATTTTTGATCTACCATAAAAATACGACTAAAATTACCACTAATAATGAAGGGTCTCGTATGGCCCCCGGGACAACAATGCACTGTTGCCATATCGTAAAAATCAATAGGTGTCACTATCTCTCTCCCTATCTCTCCTTATTCCACACTATTTCTTAATCCATCCAGTAACATCTGTTCATTTGGTAGGACAGTGTTGTTGGAGAGATAAAAGGAAAGTTAGTGACTGCCAGGCAAACAGGGAGGGTAATTGACTTTGATGAGCAAAAAAAGACCTATGCTGCCTGATTGCATAATTTTGCTGTGTATAAAAGAGGGTACGGCAGCTAGAAAAATCCGAAAAACTAGGTCTTGATCTAGGAAATCCGATTAAAAAATGGACCATGACATAAAAATTAAGACGTGAGACAGAAAACTCAAAAAATTAGATCATCTACCAAATTCACAATTACAAAATTTTATCGCTTTATTATTATCAACCAAGATCGATTAATGAATCCTATGCTCCTCCCTTTCCACCTCCTCCTCCACCTCCACGACAACAGCAACATGCAATGACGATGATAGCAATGATAAGGATAAGAAATGCAGCACCACCACAGATCAAGAATAACCGTGTCTGGAAATTAGACATACTGTAGAAAAATCTCAAAATTTTGGAAACCTTACCTGTGTATAAAAAGTGCATTTTCCCAATTCATCACAGCAAAGTTTATACATGTTTGATTTCTCGTCTGCATTCTTGTACTGATCACTTCCTTTCCCTACAATTTTTTAGAACTACAGCAATCCCAAAAAAATCCTGTTACAGTAATTGCAGATGATTCCAAACGCAAACTTCTCTTCCTCGTCATTCAGAATTAGTTTAACTCTATCCCAAGTGGCTTGATTAATGGATTCCCAAGAACGGGGGTCACTCACCGGGATTACTGTAGTTGACAACGTAGTTTTCGAAAGTGGCTTAGTCAGAAAGTTTTGATTATTTTGGAAACTAGTTTTGTGGTTTTTTGGAGTTTAATCGATATTTATGGTGCGGAAAAGAGGTCAAGGAAAAAAGGATTTCGGGTCACTATTTTTTTAATATCGAAATACAAGTTTTTGTAATTTTTTAAATTATGTCAAAACAATAAAAAAGGATTCTGTATCACGTGGATTCAGAAATCATAAAAATCTCAACAATTCCTGATTTATTAGACAAAAATGTCAGTTGAAGCAGAAGAATGTCCCATTTGTGAGTAAATTTTTTTCAAACTGGATGCTTTAGTACCCAATTCAAAATTTTCTTGAATTTTTAAAATTCCTGGCCTTTCTGATTTTCTAGAGTTATTTTCTAGCGCAAAAAGTTATCAGCGTATTGTGGAAACCAACTGTAAAACCTGTAAAACGCAAACCTTCAAATTTTGATTTGGCTCATCTCAGTTCCTGTGAGAGTTATCAAAACGTAATCAACTGATGAAACACTGCTGATAATATGATAAACATTTTGCCATTGATCACTTTTTGATATCTTTCACAGAAACCAAGCTAAATTGAGTCAAAATAAACGCCATTACTTCGACCGCCGGATGACCGCCATACAATGGCGGCCGGCCGTAGTCGACCTCGATTTTTTTTCTGAAGCCATGGCACATCTACAAATCTCTTTTTGTAAATCTTCCAAAAACTATTCCAGATGTCAAATCCGAAATGTATTAGGTTGGCGGGAAAGTCTTTGTCACTCTGTTTGTTTAATCACTGTTCTCGTATATGGAGGCTGTGTATGATATCGACTCTAGTGAATAACAAGGTGATAAGAACCTTCCATATAAACAAGTCCCCATCTCCTTCCCTGCTCCTCATCTGTAATTGAAACGATATGTTTGTTCCCACTGCTATTCACATCAGACATGTTTTGATTTACCTCTTCCTATCTCACACCACGATGAAGGATTCGGAAACTTTCTTGAAGAATGTGTACAACACACATGTCCCTCACTACAATACTATTCGCAATTGGTTCCATCGTTTCGAAAAAGATGACTTCTCGCTCGATGAAAAGGATCGCTCTGGGAGACCCCGTGAGTTGGATTTGGACAAGCTGAAGCACGCATTGCAATCGGATCCATTTCAATCTAGCCGTGAACTAGCTGTCACATTCGGAGTTCACCATAGCACAGTCCTTGAAGGTTTGAAGTCTCTTGGAATGAGAAAACTTTTTGGTCGATTCATACCTCATCACCTGACTCAAGCCAACCTTGACCGCCGAGTCGACGATTCGATTACTCTTCTCACTCTCCACGCGGGCGATCGATGGCTGGACCGGCTAATAACCGGAGATGAGAAGTGGGTCTTCTACGATAATCACCACAGGAAATCCCAGTGGGTTGGAGAAGGAGAGAGCCCACAGGATGTCCCCAAACCCGACCTTCATCCGAAAAAAGTTATGCTCTCTGTGTGGTGGGGAGTGGACGGCCCCATCTACTGGGAACTTCTGCCCGAGGGCAAAACAATAACTGGAGACCTCTACACTACTCAACTACGAAACCTCAAGAAAGCAGTCGACCGTTCGGCCCTGAAAGACAAGAAAGTGTACTATCAACATGATAACGCTCGCCCACATGTTTCGAAACAAGTGAAGCAGGAGCTGATGGGATATGGATGGAATGTTCTCCCTCACCCCCCGTATTCTCCTGATCTTGCTCCTTCCGACTATTGGTTATTTGGCGATATGACACGTGCCTTCGAAGGAAGAAGCTTCAATTCCCGTGGAGCGGTCGAAGCGGCACTCAAACAATACTTTGCCTCACGCCCGGCTGGATTCTACCGCAATGGAATCCATAAATTGAGGGAACGTTGGAGACATGTTGTTGATAATGATGGACAATATAATTAATTATTCGGTTATTTTTTCTTTGAGAAATAAACTATTGAAAAAGTGACAAAGACTTTCCCGCCAACCTAATACCGTAGCTGCGACAAAGCGTGTCAACAAACGGACCAAATGTACCAGAAGTGTTGTGTGGTTTTCGATTACTGTTCATTCTACCGTACCATTTGGTTCTTCTGGCTCGTATTCCTGGCTTGTATGATCTGTTTGCTTGTATCGACTTTGGCGTGTGCAATCATTTGTTTCCGGAATAAGGGAATCGTGGAGGAAAAGAACTCAGAAAAAGATTCGGAGAGCCAAAAATCGGATGAAACCATTTGAGAGATCTTTTTTATTGTTCAATGAAGGTTTTATTTTATTTTGCGAGATGAAAAATTTTGGGATACAACACTTGGAGTAGAAATTTTCGATTTTTTTACGTGAACTCTCGAAAATCTTTCAAATAGGATTTTTAGAAAACGTATTTCAAAAGATGACAGGTCATTCTCATGAGCGAGGTCAGTTTCAACATCATTTCCCTTATTTCTTAAAACTCGATTTTTTGAAGTAGCTTCCTTTTCTTCGTTCAGAGTCCAAAGACACAAAATAAATGTTCTAAAAATAAAACATTTATATTTTCCCACCAACAATAAACCATCACATTTTCACAAATCAAAATATTTTGGAAATCAAATTTTGATCCAATTTTCTGTGTTTCTCATTATTCAACTCATTTCTCTGCTTCGAATTATTCAAATTTGATTTTGACGTTTTTGGTGACTGGGTTACTGTAGCCAGTAGCTCATTGAGACGTTTGCTATCCAATTTTTTTGAAAATTCCAAAATCGGTCTGTTGGAATTTTGAGGACTCGTGATTGGAACAGGTTTTTGGACTCGAGGCGTCTGAAATCAATTTTTTCGAATTTCAAAAACTAATATTCGAAAAAACATACCGTATCCTTATTGAAATTTTGAGATGATGCTGAGTTTTCCTGTTCAACCAGAAAATCGAAAAGACTCATTTCTTTGGGAACCAGAACTTTTGGAGCTTTCGGAGCTGAAACTTGGGGTGACGTCTTCTGGAAAAGTGAAAATTTTAATTCTCAAAAAAGCCTGAAAAATTAGACTTACCGTATTCATACACTGGACCGACGATTGTGAATTTTGTGGTGTCAAAAATCTAGATATATTGAAATTTGCTAATTTTGAAGTTTCCAGAGCAGGTTTCTGAATTGGAGCAGTCTGAAATTTCAAAGATTATCATTTTTAGATCTGGAATATTCCAAACTTACCGTACTCTTACATGGACCCGGAATTTCCAAAATTTCAGATAAACTGGAAGTGGAGGATTGTACAGAATTTTCCTCTGAATTTTCAGATTCCATTTTCCTCAAATTCTCCTCTTGAACCAAAAAATCGAAAAAGCTCAATTCTTTGGAATCCCGATTTTCTGAACTCTGGAAGATCAGTATTTCAGATTTCGAATCAATGAAAATGGGGACCTACCGTTTTCTTAACTTGCTCAAAACTCTGTGATAGTAATTGCAAAATTTCATCTAAATTGGGACATACCATATTCGAAGTTTTCAGAACAGGTCTCTGAAAACAATTTTTAAATTTACAAATTCAAAAAAAATCACCCACCTCAATTTGGTTCAAATTCACAGAATCTTTCTGGGAATTTTCAGACTTCTCCCTATCAAATTCTAAATTTAATTTTTTCGAATCTTCCCTTTTTCTTTTTTTCGGATTCAAAATTTTTGATACTCCCAGAACTTGGTTTGAAGAATTCTGAAAGTTTGAAATTTTAGATTAAAACTTTTCAAAAACCAAGTTACCGTATCATAAATTTCAGATAATCTGGCACTTGCGTCCCTCAAAATTTTCATAATAGATTCCGGAAATACAGGCTGAAAATCGAATTTTTCAAAAAAAAAATCTGAAAATCTTCAAAACCTTTTCTGCACGTTTACAATTCTTTGGGAGAAAATGTAGTTGTAGTTTTTTCAAACTTTTGAATGAAACTTTGCAAATTTTGCACTGCATCAATCCTGATTTTTTGTGAATATCCAAAATGTGATTTTCCAAATTCTTGTATTCCGAAAAAATAGAATCACAAGATGGGCACTCGAATTGTGGCTGCTTCATGATATGAGACATCATGTGGGTTGTAAGCTGAAAATGAAAAAAAAATCTGAAATTTTTAAATTTTAAAGGTGGGGGGACATGAAAAAAATAATGTTCTCGAAATTCCGTTTAAATATGCCCCTCGAGGAGTTGAACTTGTCGAGACTAGTAGTGACGGTGCGGCGCCGCTACCGACTGAGCCACGCGGGCAAAGAGGCAGCCGGCGCCCGATTGCATACATAAAGGTGAGGACGACCGCTGTACGCAGAGTGACATTAAGCGTTGTACACCGTCACGGTAGAATGCATACCCTAGCTACAAAAATCCTACGAAAAATCTCCTGTCCCCCCACCTTTAAAAAACTAGAAAAATGTTTTTTTTTTAATCTGAAATTACTTTTTCAAAAATTCTCACCACATCTTTCCTCACAAAATCATTTTCGCATATTTGACATTTGAACAATTTCCCGCTATGCTTTGCCTTGTGAAGCAAAAGAAGTTTCTGGAATTTTCAAAAAAAAATATTTTGGCGCCAAATTCAAAAATTCTCACCCTGGCACAAAATGGAACTTTGCAGATGTGACACGTGTATTTTTCCCTGTTCTTTTCAGTCGATTTCTGCAACAAAAAAAAATATTAAAAATTTAAAACTAGGTCATGGCCTAAAAAAATTAGATCGTGACCTAGAAAATCCAAAAATTAGGTCATGACCTAGAAAAATTAGGTCATGACCTAGAAAAAATTAGGTCATGACCTAGAAAATCCAAAAATTAGATCATGACCTAGAAAATCCAAAAATTAGGTCATGACCTAGAAAATCCAAAAATTAGGTCATGACCTAGAAAATCCAAAATTTAGGTCATGACCTAGAAAATCCAAAAATTAGGTCATGACCTAGAAAATCCAAAAATTAGGTCATGACCTAGAAAAAATTAGATCATGACCTAGAAAAAATTAGGTCATGGCCTGGAAACTCCAAAAATTACGTCATGACCTAGAAAATGCAAAAGTTGGGTCATGACCTAGAAAATCTAAAAATTAGATCATGACCTAGAAAATTCAAAAATCAGGCCGTGACCTAGAAATTCGAAACATGAGGCCTTAACATAGAAAATAAAAGGAATTAGGTCATGACCCAGAGAAATTAGGTTATGACCTAGAAAAAGTTAGCTCATGACCTAGAAAATCCAAAAGAAATGTTCAACCCACAACGTGCAAGTCCAGTTTAGCATATGAAAATGTCGAAAATTCACAAAATTGACATTTCAATTCCTCATTTGGATTTTGATTTTGTGGATCTGGAAATTTGAAATGTAATTTTTGAAAAATCAAAAATTGAAAATTACCGTATCTGGCCATTCCCGCCTTTAGACACTTTTGAAATCGACAAAATTGGCATTGAATATTTTCATAATGAATTTTGCAATTTTTCGAAAATGCGCACGGATTTAGGTCGTTTTTTCCTCGATGGTATCGATAGAACCACTGCAAAAAAAAATAATTAAATTTTTTTTTTCAAAAATTTCGAAATTTTAGACTCACTTGACAATTATTACATGCTGCTATTATTCTGAGATATCGATATTTGATAGGACCGCGTTCACAAATTACACAATTGTTTTCTGTTTCGTCATTTTCATCGTTTTGTGAACTTCCGAGATCCATCGCGTTTTTGGAGCCCATCCAATTATTCTGGGCACACGGTGCACTGAGCAATTTGACCACTGTTGAAGTTTCTGGAATTTATGGATTTAGAAAATTCACGATTTCAGACTTTTAGAATTTCCTATGTACTGAATTTCCGAATTTTCGAGTAGCAGTATTTTGACGTTTCAGAACCCCAAAATTTGAGGATCTGAAAATTTTGGAAGTTTCTGATTTTTAAGAAGTTCAGATTTTTGGAATTTCAGACTTTTTGGAACTTTTGAAATTTACTTTTTAGTTTCCGAATCTCAGAATTCCAGAATTTCGAAATCTCAGGAATTTTAGAATTTCGAAATCTTCGAATCTCAGAATCTCAGAATTTCAGAATTTCAGAATCTCAGAATTTCAGGATCTGAGAATACTCAGAATCTCAGTAATTCAGAATTTTAGAATTTCAGAATCTTTGAATCTTTTAAAACCAGATTTTCAAAGTTTCAGAATTTCGAAATCTGAGAATCCGAGAATTCGGAATCTTGGAAATCGCCAAAGTTCCTGAATCCTTGAAAATCTTTTCAAACTTCAAGGTTTTAAATTTTGGAAACTTGAAAATCTTTCAAACTCTCAAGAACAGAATTTTTAGATTTTTTCAGATTTCAGATTTCTTCTTTTTTTTTGAAATCTCGAATGCTTATATAATTTCCGAATCTTCAAGAAATTCAGAATCTTCGAAATTTCATATTTGTAGACTTTGCAATTTTGGAATTTCGAAGTTTCTAAATTCCAGAATTTCTACATTTTAACCCTCACCATTTCTTCCCATTCCTTTGCTCAAGCACTTCCGAAGCCGACAGGCTGCGCAATCACTTTTCGTTAAAAAATCGATTTCACAATTTCCCGATTTTTCGCACTGCGGTTTGTCCTCTCGATCTTTATGATTTCGATAGAAGTGCTGAAAATATTTTCAGCCATTTTTTTTTCGAATTCTTTAAAAATTACCTGACAACTTTCACACGTCTTCACTCCATGACTCATTCTTATCTCTTCGTCGTCTCCACAAATTTCACAAATCCCTTTGACAAGTTTCACATTTTTCGCATTTTTTGCTGCTTTTCTTTTCACATATTCTGGAAAAAATTAATAGAAATTTTCATGGAATTCGAAATTCTTTTTTAAACCATCATGAGCTGTCGCCAACGCCTTTGACCATTTATGAAATCGACATTTTTTGCAGTTCGATCTTGTGAAAACTGAAATTTCGCAATTGTTTGAATCATTTGAACATTGAAAAATGGATTGCTTGAATTGACTATCACGATAGAAATCCTGAAAAAATAATTTCAGATAAAATATACCATAACCTAGAAGGGCCGCTAACTTTGAGCCAATTTATCTCGGTCCCTGTGAAAGATATTAATAAGGGGTCAACTGATAAACTGTTTGTGGTAGTATGAGAAACATTTTATCAGTTAAGAACTTTTTTATATCTCTCATAGGAACCGAGATAAATTAGCTAAAACTTGACAGTGTAGGGCCCTTGTATTACAGGTTTTACGGTAAGTCAAAAGAGACGGTTCCAGGAGATTTCAGAAATGGAAGTTTTGAAAGTGAAGACATTTCGCAACTGATATTTCACAACCAGACGTTTTAAAACCGGCTTTTTTGCAACTGATGAATTTAGAACAACGCGAATAGTTCCGAAATGTCCGATTGCAAAATACCGTATTTGCTCTTTGAGCTCAATTATCTCGGTTCCTATGAGAGATATCAAGAATCCATCAACTGATAAAATAGTGATTATATTATGATAAGTAATTTAACAGTTTACAACTTTTTGATATTTCTTGAAGGAACCGAGATAATTGTGTTCAATGTAAGCAGTATGGGGGCTCTTCAACCGTAAATGCCCCCTTTACGTTCATTCTGAGCTCCATCATCTCAATTCCTATAAAAGATATTAAAAATCTATCAATGATAGAATGCTTGTCATAATCTAATCAACATTTCATCAATTGACAATTTTTTCATACCTTTCACAGGAACCGAGATAATTGAGCTCAAAATTCATATGCATATAGGGTGCTCTACTATTAGAACTAGGAAACTTCATTCCCTTCAAACTTCCATTTTCCCGAAACACCCAAAATTCCACTCACCAAACAATCCTTGCACGTTATCACTCCATTGAATTCATCAGTCGCCTCATCTCCACAAATCTCACAAACACCCAAATGTTCCACAGATACATCAGAATATGTTATTCGGTCTGGAAAAAAAACAAATTCAAAATCTTCAAAATTCGCGCCAAATTGAAAATTTTAAGTTTCAAACTTACCGTCTTTTGAAAATCCGTTTTTGAGACACTTTTGAAATCGGCAATATTGACAATTATTTCTCGAAGTATGATTAATTTCGCAATTTTTGGAAAAATTGCATTTCAATTGGTCACTTGTCTTCTTGTGGTGATAATAGAACGTCTGGAAATTTAACCATAATTAACTCTTTAATTTTTCTTCGAGGTCAATTATCTCGGTTCTTATCAGAGATTTCAAAAATCTGCCAACTGATAAAACGTTTGTCATAATCTAATCTACATTTAATCAGCGAAAATTGTTTTGATATATTTTACAGGAATTGAAATAATTGAGCTCAAAGTTATGAGTTTCGTAAGCTTACGCTGCAATTTTTACATGTTATCACTCCTTTATACCGAAATGTAACACCATTTCCACAAATTTGACAACATTTTGAATCATTTGGATTTTCAATTGAGTCGTCTGGATCCATGAGATCTAAAAAAACGACTGAATGATTTAAAAATTGAAAAAATAGTCAAAATATTTTCGAAAAAAAAACGGAGAATTGTGCAAAAATAGCATTAAAAGGGGAGAATAAACTCCAGAAAAATGCAAAGAAGTGCCATGTCGAATAGGTTGAAAAAATCAATAAACAAAAAATGTGTAACAGAGTTTCTGCGAAAATTATTTTTGATCTACCGCCGAATTTGGTGTAGTAATTTCGAGATTTTCTTAAACCTAGAAAATAGAAAATTTTGAAAATTCGAAAAAAAAAGTAGGAAACTTTGAAAGTTTGGAAAAATAGGAAATTGAGAAAACAATTGAAACATTTCTTTTCTTGCCTACAACACTCGCTGATTCTGTTACCAGAATCAGCGCTGCCTACAAAGAATCACCATAAACGAAAAATGTACAAAATTGGGACAAAATTATAACTGGGAGGAGAAACAAACATAAAAGTGGGCGAAAGTGATCCCAAAAACGGGCGCATTTACTTGAGCGCGTCGAGAGTTAGATGTGCAGGGTACAGTAGTCCTCAACAATTGGCAGGACGTTCAAATCGGCATCGTGGGTGGTTGGCAGGAAGAAGGCGTCGGTGATCTCATATAAATTGACAGAAAACGATAGAATAAAAAGAGAATGTATTCAGAAAGTGGAAAAAGTCGTGAATAGGGAACTTTAGACCCCTAAATTCGCGACACTGCCAGGGCCAGAACTGTTTCCTTCTCAGTCGTCTGATCCATCCTTGGTCTTACTAAAAACCCCAACTCTGTCTCTTATTATTCTCGTCTCATTTACTTCTTTTTTCTTTAGTTCTAAACTTTGCCTTTATTGCAATCGTTAGAATCATAATCATAGTGAATCATGGTAGATCATGATCACTGCTTTCTATACTATCGTAACTCCTTTTTTCTATTTTCTTTTGGAGTACTTCTTTTTCTTGTTCTTCATTTAGCAAAAAAAATCAAAAATCAAAAAAAAATCTACTACTGGTTTGGTTCAGTGGTATTGTAGTTCTTGCTCTGACTGCTCAGTTGCGGTTTCCTCTCATTTAACTTCCAGGAAAATCGACTGTTCTGCTGATCTCAGATTCTCCATGCCTCATCATGGACTTCTTTTTATCTTCATCATACTTTTTCGAATGGGAACTTTTCGGTTCAGTTTATTTCTTGTCATGTCTCCACTCTTTATTACATACTATGCTCATGTGAATTCCACATTTGCCGCAATCTGAAGTGTTCCATAGCTTCCAGTAGTGCCAATAATCATGGCTATTCTTTCTCCCTTTCTCCTTTCAACTTCAAGAAGTTTTTTTTTTCCGATTCTAATTCTAATTTTATATAATTCTCTGATCTTTACTCCTAGCAAAATTCGTACTCTGATAGTTGTATCCAATTGTACTTAATGTACTGTAGCATCTTTTTCTAGTTTCTGCTCCGTTTACCACCATGCTGTAGACACTGGGCTGATAATCCTCTGCACCTATTATTCGTTTCAACCTCAAAGTCACAGTATTATTTTTCTTCAACTCTTTGATTAGTGTTCTATCTTTAGATCAAGTCACTCCTGTATCACTTGATACGATGTTATATCTTTTGTTTGATTGCAACAGAAGATTATCTATTTGTCTTTGGGTGTCATTGGATTTACTGTATACTAGAATTTTTGGATCTTCTGTAGATGAATCATACGTTTCTGTGTTCTCATCTTTCTTGAATTATTTACAACCATGTTGATACCAGTTTGAAGGGCGATTGGGTCATGAGAATACAATTTGATATCATCAGCAAAGGCGGCAAGGTGAAGAGAGGGGACTGAGCTCTATCAGATTATTGGATATTCGGAGAGATACAACCTCATCTAGAGAATACGAAAATTTGCACCATTTATGTGAAAAACCGAAAAAAAAAAGAATACTTTGATTCGCGGCTAGCTGGCTTTTGAAGGTATTGTATCCACAAGTTATCTGAACATTGCCATGTCGTGGACCCCGACGGTGCATACTGCTAATCTTGGATTAATCCTGCTTTTGTATTATTCACAAATAAAACAAGGGGCAGTTACTTTCCTGCCAACCTAATATATAAGTAGTATAACCGCGATGAAGACATAACAATAAAAAGGCGTCAGAGGAAAAGTAAAAGGAAAGAATGTTATAATATGAGAAGGGAAAGAGAGGATCCAACACTTGAGAAGACAGCATCATGAATAATCAATTCGCATCAACAGCTCCTTCTTCATCCTCACTCTCCTCTTCGGTATCAGACTCGAAAATTGGACGCCGACGTATTATCTCTCTAACAGTACTCGATGAATTGACACTTCACCTTGCCGCCTTTGCTGATGATATCAAACTGTATTCTCATGACCCAATCGCCCTTCAAACTGGTATCAACATGGTTGTAAATTGGGCTTCCGCCAACCATCTCCCTCTTGCCCACTCTGCCCTTCTTCGCCTAGGTTCCCATAATTCTTCCCATCCTCCCAATATTGCGGGTGTCACACTTACTCCCTCCTCCTCCGTCCGGGACTTGGGACTCATTACTGATTCCTCTCTCAAATTCTCTGCTCACATCAACAAAATCACATCTCTAGCTCTTCTCCGTTCCAAACAACTCTTAAAGTCATTTAGATCTAAGTCTCCAGAATTCTACATTCATCTTTTCAAATGCTATGTTCTCCCGATTCTTGAATATTGTTCTGTAGTTTATTCCCCTCCGCCTTCTTCTCGCCTTGCTCTAAAACTAGAATCTCCCTTAAGATTTTTCTCTAAGTGTATTTTCCAGCGTTGTAATATCCAGTACAGTTCCTATTCTCAATATCCTCAATATGTTCTCCATTCGACATCGTAGGCTAAAAGCTCAACTAATTCTTCTCTATAAATTTTTAAATGGCTCCGCCTACTTTCCTAACCTAAATGCACATGTCAAATACCTCTCCTTCCCTCGTCGCCCTATGAACTTAATTATTGTTCAGCCCTACTCCTCTGACTATTTTTCTTCAATTGTTCCCCTGTGGAACGCCATCACTTCCCAAGTTACCCGATTTCTCCTACCTTCCGAGTTTGAATCCTTAATTTCTTCCAGTATTACCCGTTATTGATATATTTGCTCCCTATTTTTCTTTTTCTACCGGTTACATCTTTCCTGTGTCAAATATCTAAATTATCCCGTTTTCCCTCCGCTACTCAGATCGGCCTCGTGAGGGGCATTTTTCTGAGTCTTTCATGTCTTGCCCTCTAATGTTTTATTACACCTGATCAATAAAAAAATTAAATTAATTGTTATAAATCAGCTCAATAAGTATCCACAGAAACATCATATCCACTTTTGGTTGAATCCTCTCCCGATTCGACTTTTTTTTCTCTTCTCCATCACGACCACCCGTCTTTCTTTTCCAGTAGAAGAACCAAAAAGCTGCTCCAGCAGCAGCAAGACATCCAATCGCAATCAGAATGATCAAAAAGATAACCCAGCCCTGGAAAATGATGATACGTGAAGTTCAGACTGCTCCGATTATGGAGAAATTCAAAACATACCGACATACCCCCACAAAAATTGAGCATGTTACAGCAAGCAGAATAGCGTACTCTATCGGTTTCTCCATTATTGTATGAATCACTTTCGGCATCTGAAAACTCAAGCATTATTTTGTTTTTCATATGTCTGACCCGCAGGATTCAAATGCTTCTTTGCAGTGTTCTCTATATTTTTCTTTAGCTTCTGGCGGCATAGCATTGAAAGCGCCAATTGAAATTTTCAATTTTTTCCTGTCCCTTCTCATCATGTTTTTTATATGTACATGTTTCTCCCGCATTGTTGTGGTTGACTCATGTCTAGTTTTTTTTTCTGAAGAAACATCGTTTCAGAATTGAAGGAAATATATTAGGCTTACAGTTGTTGGAGTAGGACTGTAGAAGGGAATAGAGTATCTAATTTTTGGAATACATTTCTCCGCTTTTTTTCGGTGTTTAAAAATATTTTTAATCTCAAAAATAGATTAGATTTTATTCATAGATAAGAACATAGTAATATGTGACTATTCATCCAAAATAGAGGTTTCTGAGGTTTTACAACTTTTCTGAGCTGGTAATTTGTCTATACTGGCAAATAAGGGCCAGGACAAATCGAATTCAGACATTCAAAAAGATTTCGCGGACCTTGAAAACCTCCAAATTCTAACCTTTTCAGAGTGAAAGCATTGTTTTGTGGTGCACTGTAGAATGATCTCATGTAATTCCATCTGGTTTTAAAAGTCGTGTCAGATTCTTCTTTATTCGTTTTGTGCTTTAAAGATGGGGGGGGGGGGGGGGGACATGAAAAAAATAATGTTCTCGAAATTCCGTTCAAAGATTTCTCTCGAGGAGTTGAACTTGTGAGGGCGATGATTGAGGGTGCGGCGCCGCTACCGACTGAGCCACGCGGGCAAAGAGGAAGCGCACGCCCGATTGCATACATAAAGGCGAGGACGACAGCTGTACGCAGAGTGACATTAAGCGTTGTTCACCGTGACGGTAGAATGCATACTCTAGCTACAAAAAAACTACGAAAAATCTCCTGTCCCCCCACCTTTAATGAATATTTGTATTCAAAACTGTTCATATAATTTTATTGGATTAAAATAAAATATTTCTGAGACATTTTCCAAAACAATGGAATTTTTTTAATTTGTAAAATAGGTTATACTAATGATAAAATCTTCTGGAACAGATCCGCAAGAAGATCGTGATCCATTTCAACTGGATCCTCTACAGCCACACTTTTGACATCAGAGACTGATTGAATTCTAGTCATACACCTTTTCTGAAAATTCATTTCTATAATAAGAACCAACTTTCAAACTCACTCTCAACTCTTCCAATTTGTATTTTCCAGCCATTTGCAATTTTTCTTTCAGTGGCTTATATGATTTCTCCAAAAGATATTCTTCACATTTTTTGATGATAGTGGGGGTGTTGTACATATCAGCAATTGATAAGATTCCCTCAACAGTTTCTTCTGGAATATTCTGAGAGTTAAGTTAGAGAAGAGGTATAGTAACCCACCATCTGGTCCAGGTTCTCCGTAAAGGAGTTCCAGGAAGAATTGTAAGTTTTGAGGATTTGAAGTAGAAAGTTTGATTTCCGATTTTCCAGAATTTCTGGAGAAGAGATTAGCAAAGTAGGGGGATTGGGAAGAGAGGAACTGAAAACTTGAGATTATAAACTACAAACTACAAAAAAAACTAACCAATTTTGAAACATGAAACTTCTGTTCATCAATCACAAGAGCAACATCTGAGAATTGTTTGTCTTCAAAACTTCTCAAAACTTTTCTACTTTTCTCTTCATTCATTCCTAATATTTTCACACGAACATTCACTTCCAAATTTCCATTATCATCTAGATAATCATTGATTATTCTTTCCCAAGCGATCTTTTCCGGATGTCCTTCGAATTCACATTGTCCAGTTTTGAAAATTCGCATTTTTCCAGATGTTGATAACACTTTTCCGCAGTCAGAAGTAATAATGTATTCGAATTCAGCTTGAAGTTCATGGCCAGTTTTATGTGGAGGTATCACACAGAGAAAGAGCTTCAGATAACGACTTCTTTGAAGACCCACGTACCTGGAATGGGAAAATTCTGGAATGTTCAGATAAAAATTAATCAAGTTATAAGCTCAATTATCTCGGTTCCTGTCAAAGATAATATTAGAAAATTTTTATCAGAAAATGTTCAACTGATAAATATACATCATAATATCACCTATTTTTACAGATTTTTAATATCTCTTATAGGAATCGAGATAATTTAGCCCAACGTATATGTAAAGAGTGGTTACGGTCTTTGTTTAGTTTCCTTATAAGCTCAGTTATCTCGGTTCCTATAGGAGATATCAAAAAACTTTTAGTTGATAATTTTGTTATCGTAATCTCACCAATATATTATCAGTTGACAGATTTTTGATATCTCTTATAGGAACTGAGATAAAGGAGCTTAAAGTGCGAATAAGGTAAGCAAAAGCTCAAACCCTCAAATTTTTTGCTGTCTCATCTTTTTCAATTGAAAATATTTTGGTTCAGGTAAATTTTATCGAAAAACTATCAAGTGACAAAATTTTTATCAACAAATTTCACACATTTTATGTTTGAATTTTACTTCTAATAGACTGTCAGCAAATTTTTTTTGAACATGTTTACCTCAATTTCTGTGAGAGCTATTAAAAAATCGTTAGAAAATAAAATGTTTGATATTTGGTGATAAAAATGTTGTCAGTTAACAATTTTTTGATAGCATTTACCTGAACCAAAATGAAGTTTAAACTTGAAAACCTAAAACTTGAATACTAAAAACCTGTAATAAAAGAGCCCACACTGTCAACTTTGAGTCCACATATCCGAATATCTATACAAGATATCAAAAATGTGTCAACTGACAAAATACTTCTGACATTATGATAAACAATTTATTTGTTGACAACTTTTTTGTGTCTTTCACAGGAACTGAGATGAACTGGCTCAAAGATAGGGTGCCTTTCTATTACAGGTTGCTTCTAAAAACCAAAAAATTAGGTCAACTCACCACTTGAAATTCGAAAAATTATTGAAATCTCCATTCTGCTTGTCTCCCATATTCATGTTTCGCACATTTTTGAATTTTTGAGAAATCATAAATTCTTTTCCCATTTTCAGAATTTTTTTTGAAAATTCAAAAATGATGAGGAAGAAGAATGAAGTGCGGTAAACAATGGAAACCAAATTTACTGATAAGAAAAATGCATTATCAGGAAAAAAAAGGGGAAAAATCACGAGGAGAATTAGAAAACAGGAATTGGAAAACAGGAATTGGTCAAAACTTCTCAAAACTTTTCTACTTTTCTCTTCATTCATTCCTAATATTTTCACACGAACATTCACTTCCAAATTTCCATTATCATCTAGATAATCATTGATTATTCTTTCCCAAGCGATCTTTTCCGGATGTCCTTCGAATTCACATTGTCCAGTTTTGAAAATTCGCATTTTTCCAGATGTTGATAACACTTTTCCGCAGTCAGAAGTAATAATGTATTCGAATTCAGCTTGAAGTTCATGGCCAGTTTTATGTGGAGGTATCACACAGAGAAAGAGCTTCAGATAACGACTTCTTTGAAGACCCACGTACCTGGAATGGGAAAATTCTGGAATGTTCAGATAAAAATTAATCAAGTTATAAGCTCAATTATCTCGGTTCCTGTCAAAGATAATATTAGAAAATTTTTATCAGAAAATGTTCAACTGATAAATTATACATCATAATATCACCTATTTTTACAGATTTTTAATATCTCTTATAGGAATCGAGATAATTTAGCCCAACGTATATGTAAAGAGTGGTTACGGTCTTTGTTTAGTTTCCTTATAAGCTCAGTTATCTCGGTTCCTATAGGAGATATCAAAAAACTTTTAGTTGATA